ATGTCTGAATCCCGGCTGCGGTGGCTGCATTTCCGATGGAAGCGGAAATGTTGTAGGCCCGTGTGCTCAGATTTGGGTGCACATTAAAGAACCCCAGGTGGTCGAAATTTCCGGAGCCCTCCACTACGGCGTCTCTCATAATCATAGCGTGGTTTTGGGACGTTAAACCCCACAAATTAATCAATTAACATCAGAAATGATCACCGCCACAACTTTGCTCGCCTTTCGCCGTTTTGTCGCACGCTGCGGTGTACCCTCAATCGTGTTTTCTGACAACGCCCAGACGTTTCGGAGTTGTGCTAGATGGTTTGCATCTGCACTAACTGCTCTTCGCGAGTACGCCACGGAGATCAGGATACAATAGAAGTTTATCGCAGAACGCACTCCATGGTGGGGTGGATAGTGGGAGCACCTCATTCGTACGACAAAAACTGCGCTCAAGAAGTCACTCGGACACAGTAGTCTTAATGTGGAAGGCCTCACAAGGGTGCTGTGTCAGGTCGAAGCTGCGATCAACAGCAGACCCTTCACCTATCTTGGAAGTGAGCCTAACAAGCTACAGCCCTTAACTCCATCGCATTTCTTGCTGGGTAAACGCAGCACATCCTTGACACAACAGTGCCCATCAGAGCCTCACATATCCGTTGATCTGCAACCAAATGTTCGTCATTGCCAGCATTTAACAGTGAAACTTGGGAAGAGACGGAAACGAGCGTACCTGCTATTGCTGCGGTCGGCACACAATCGCTCGAGATGCCCAACAACAAAGCTCCGAGTTGGTGATGTAGTGCTCTTGCAAGAAGACACGGCACCAGTGACGTCATGGAAAACGGGCAGAGTGCTTGAGCTATTGCTAGGGAGAGATAACATTGTGTGCACTTGCTCCATCCGTCTCGCCAACGGTTCTGTTGTGAATCGCCCTGTGCAAAAGATTTGCTTGCTGGAAGCCTCTGATTCACCATGGCCCGCCCTGGATGATGTTGAAAAAATAAACCGGAACGGAGCAACTAGAATGCGTGACACCGGGAGGGAAGAGGAGAAAGCTGAGGACACAGAACTTGCGAGGGACGGCAAGACAGATAGTTCGCCATGAACTCAGAATAAAGCCATGTTTTCTCTTACAGTTTTGGAGCCAGTCGTTTTGTAATAGGGACACGGAAAAGGCTGTAGGAGTCCAGCCAAAGTTAAAGGGGGTTTCTTGCGGCACTGCTAGAGCAAGCATGACGCGACATATCATGCTATGCAAGTGGAAAGTGCAGGCCAAGTAAAACGACTGCGGATGCGTTTTGCGAAAACCGGGATGACCAGTCTTAGGGTCGACGTGAAATGCCTCTAAAATCTGTGCTCTTAGTGAACGACAGGAACCCCTGCGCTGTTCTTTGGGGTGGAAGACAAAGTGGTAGAGGTTTGAGTTTTCAATCTTCAGTCAAGTTCAGCAGCTGTCGACGGGTGTGGGCTTTATGAGGACGTGAAGAGTTGTGAAGGCAATGCCAAATAGAATGGTAGAACGCGTTGGCGAGTTGCAAAGGTCCCGTTACAGAAGGAAACTCATGGAGAACGGGCAAGCGAATGAACTGACGAAGACGCGTTGACAGTGTCGCTCACAAATGACAACAGTCCTGGTGCATTTGAGGAGGAAGGTAATGGACAATGGCTAAGGGCATCTGCTTCTTTGTGTTTCTTGCCAGATTTATATGTAAGGTCGAAGTAGTACTCTTGAAGACAGAGTACCCAGCGACCAAGACGTCCAGACAACCAGCGCAAATCGTGGTGGTCAGTTATGACGGTAAAGTGGCAGCTGTGCAGGTAAAGTAGAAATATCTGAATAGCCCAGGCAACAGCATAGCACTCCTGCTTCGTGATGGTGTAGTTTTTTGGGCTGCTGTGAGGGTTCAACTTGTGTAAGTGATCACGTGTTTGCCACAACGCTGTGGTCGTTGCAAAAGCACAGCTCAACCCCGCTGGTGTCAGTATAGAAGAGAGTGAGTGCAGTGCCATCAAGGCTCAGACGAGAGGGCACATTTGGAGGTGTAAAAAGCCATTTGGGACTCGTCCGACCATACTTACGATTTTCCCGAAGGAAGGAGTTGGGGAAGTGGGGCAGCAATCATGGTGAAGTTTCGTATGATGTGCCGGTAGTGCGAGGCGTGGCCAAGAAAGCTGCGGAGCTCTTTGGAGTGGTGAGGTGTCGGGAAGCGAAGAACGGCCGTAATTTTATCGGGATCAGGCTGAATGCCATCTTTGTTGATGAGAAGTCCCAGTTTAATAATACTTTTGCTTGCAAAATCGCACTTTTTGGAATTCAGCTGGAGACCAACAGCTGTGAGACACGTCAGAACTTCGTCGAGGCGCTAACGGATGCGCGCGTGGTATAGTTTGCGGTGTGACCACACACTCGAAAACCCAGAGCATTCCGCATTTGTTTGTTTTAAAGCATGGTCTTGCAAGAAACCATGCGGGTAAACAACTTTCAACAAAATGGCTGTAGCCCTTTCAGAGCAAACGTCTCCGCTTGGGTTCATTGAGCTCCTGAAGCTGATGCTATCACTGCAGATGCATGCGCAGGCAATACTCTTTGACGAGCTCAGAGGCGTTTGCTTACTTGGATCATTGCCGACAGCGCCGGCACCCTGACGCCACTGAGGTGGAAAGTAAAAGCAGCATAAATAGCGTGCTTCTATGAATGCAGACCATATTGAGAATGCTAAATGCCACCTTTTGAGTAGTCTCTGGAGTAGAGAGTATGCATTCTGTTCAACTGCGACGGCGCATGTGTTTCTCGAGCTAATTCGATTGCTTAAATGACATTATGAACCAAAATGTAGCAGTCACAAAATGTCATTATATGCGAATGTCCTTTCATTCGAATGACATTAAAACATCCAGAAGTCTACCTGCGAGGATTTCTTGTCCTACCAATAGATTGTCAAGATTGACCACATTCGCTGTTGGGTGGCGCCAGTGGTCACTTTTTATCTACTTCGAACATCAAGTTAAAATTATAATTTTTTTCTGGCACAGAAGCATGCTCGTTGTAGCCGATGTGATGAGCGATATTTTCATTTGCGCCACAATAAAAAAATTTTCCAAGCGGTAGACAGTTCCTTCAAAGTTCTTCGCACTTCGTAAGAAACTGCCATTGTAAGCTGTGGTAACATCTTGTAGACAATAACATTAATCCGAGGGGCCCCCATGTCTACCAGTGCTTAAATAGGCACCCCTTTTCCTCCTAAAACTGCACCAAAGGGAACTGGAAGCTTCTCGTGGGGTAGGTGCAAGGTGAGTCAGCTGGGAAAGACTGGGAACGTGTTTGAGGGTGCACTGGTACTGGCTACGAGAGGGCGTCGAATCCCTTTTACAAGCATTGTAGCAACGGCGTTCACTCCGCTGGTGTTTGCGGCAGAATCGTAAAATATGGCCCCCGAATGCCACAATAGTAAGAGATTGGGCGAGGTGAGTGCCACGGGACACAGAATGCAGGAAGAGCCGAAACAGACGACCATGGTGCAAAGGCTCCCAAAAAGGACTGAGCAGAAACAGGATGTGCTTGTTAAACCAAAATAGGTGGCATGGCAGTGATTTGTGCAAACATCGCAGGCAGCGTCAGTGGAATGTGAGAGTGAAGCCATGAATGACAGCTCCTCTGATGATGTCGCAATGACCACCAGACGAGGAGGGTGGCCGAGGGGCAGGTGGTCGTGACACCTCTTGCTCTTGAAGCTCTTCGTGAATCAGGGTATGAATCGGCGTACGCAAATCCACATTCGAAAAAAGTTGGATGTCACAGGCATGTGGCTGCAGTCGGATGGCTTGTAGTTCATCAAGATGTTGGCATGTCATGATGATGTCCACGATAGTGGAGGCGTTTATGATGGCCAGAGCGTTGAACGGGACGTGGCCTGTTCCTTTGAAGATTTATCAAATGTGAACAGCTTCCGTCATTATAGAGTCCACATGGTGGCAAAGGGCAAGGACATCTTCGATGTACAAAGTGTGTGATCCCCCTAGATGTTGGGCAGTCAAGGTTTCGTTTCCATGCTCCAAAATGGTGGATGTTCGGCTTCCCGAAAATTCTCCAGATTTGTTGAGCAAAGGTAGGCTAATCAGTGAAGTTACCCTTGTGGTCGCAAAATCACGTTTTTAGGACATTGAACATGTAAAAAGCAACGTGACCCAAGTTTTTGAGGTTCGTCCTATTGATTGTACACACTTGTCATGTCGTACTCCTTCAGCCATACCTCGACATCACCGTCGAGAAGATCGGAGAAAGCGGGTAGGTCCCGCTGCCATGCGTTGACGGTCCATTTGGGAATGGCTTGTTGGGAGGCATACTATAAGTATCCCTGCCCAACGCAATGGCGGTTGGGCAGAGCAAGTGACAATCTGAACGAAGCTCCAGAGGAACGAGACAATTATGAGGACTTCGGGATCGAAAACAGCCTCCACCACTCTGCAAGACAGGAGCACCGTTGTGGTCTCGACGACATTAGGCAGAGTCGCCCAACCAAGCATTCGAATGAAGAAGATGAAAGACAAATGCTGTGTGCTTACAAGGCCCCTAAACCACCTTTGGTATTCAAGTAAATGAGCTGAGAATGGAATCAGTGATGGCATAGTTGTACCATGAAATGGGAAATGTCAGCAACAAGAAGAACATGCAGCTGCGCACAGGAAGAAAAGACAAATGAGGGCCTTTTTTCAATCAAGCACATGCAACTCCACTTATGTGGCATCGCCTTGAAAAATTATTGTGGTTGCATGTTTGTTCAAGACAGTTACAAAAGTAAATGTTCACTTCTGGCAGGTTTAGTAGCTCTTGAAAGACCATCATGCTTGTAGACAATTTTGATGGCACCCTTTTGTTTTAGAGATACACTTGCTGCATTTTAGACATGCATTCGCTGCATTTCAATTGAGCAAACAACCCGAGTGCATCTTTCTTCGTCTGTGTAGGCCATTTTACTGGCTGTAATAGTTTTTTATTGCTGTTTTTGTTCTAGCATGACCTGGAGTTCAAGCAAAAACAAAAAGAGCAGCAGAAGGCTCTTAAAGAGGCAGCAGCAAAGGCTGCTGGAAAAGGACCCCTTGGTAAGTTTTGTCTCATTTTGGTTCACTTCTGGTTGCTCAACACACTTGGGAGCTGGACAGGGCCGTAACCATTAAATTTGTTGTAGTTGATGGCCAACTTTGGCAAGGCGTGTAAATACTTATCGCCCAAGAAGTTGAAGCCTGAGAAAAACTTTGGAGGTGTCGGAACCCCTTCAACTCTCCCATAGTTACGGCTTAGGTGCTAGGCTCCTTTAACCCATTAAGGCCCATGCAAAAACTACTCATCTGACTGTATTTAAATTTTTCATATTTAATTAACCACAGTAAATTAGATCACATGCAAGTTTTTATAGAGTTTGCCTGTATTTCTTAAGGAGTTATGATACTATACTTTAAAAAGTATAGTATAGAGACAGGAGCAACCGCTAGGAACGCCCTCGCCCAATGCGGGGCATCGTAGCAACTGCGGGGCTGCAATTGTACGGCACTCGCCGGAGCTGTGAAACATTATTAAATGTAGCCGTGAAGGTTGAATAAGTCTTCAGAGTGATGCTAGCTTCAAGGCAATTCCAGAAAGCTCTAATACGGTAAATTTTAACCTCGAATGAGGCCTTGAAGCTAGAAATTTGACGGCATGCTGATCCCACAGTAAAATATGCTACCGCTATAAAAGCATCCTTATTTTTTTCTCCTGAAGCATCTAGTAAACATATGTGCACGACCCAGAGTTCTTCGACGACTCTGGTCGTTCCTAACGAACGGGGAAGTGCAGTAGTTGCAACTTTTTACAGCTCATATCCAACCTTCCTGGCTATACATACATTCAGTGTTTTTATATATGAAGATAAATATCTTAACATTGCCTCGCACTTATTAAATTAATGGCCACATTGAATGAATCGGTGCTTTTAATTTAGCAAGTGATGAGGATCAAGCAATACTTCATATGACGTTTGCCTCTGTCTTTTTTTATTTTGCATTAATTTATCACTATGTTGCCGTAGTGCGTTCCATGTTTGGTTGGTCATGCAATGTAGTTTCTTTGTCTTTTACTCTGCTGTGTAGCTTACTCATGCTGTGTTATCCCTCTACTTCTTTATTGTTTTTACTGTAAAGGTGAAAGCCTTACATGACTCCTCAAACGTGAGAATTGACCGATTGTGTCCCGAGCCGGTGGCGTCAACACAAGATGCAAAAAATTATCGTCTTGTGCTCATGACGCATTGATATCGAAAATTAACTTTGCACGCTTTTAGAGCTTGTACAAGGTTTGTACAGCATTTTGGTGCAACTGCTCTTGTGCCATCCACCTAGCAAACATCTTTTGGTAGCGCTGAAGTCTGCTGCGTGGAGTGGATTTGGGCTTTTTTTTTTTTTTTTCTAAGCTGTGAAGAGCTGCATGTAGCTCCGCCTGTTCGGCATATCACCTCTACAGTTTTGGTGATTTCAGTGCCTGTATAAACGAAAACGGTGAGAATTTCACTCATTGGGCTTCTTTCTATATTACCTACTGTACAGCGAATCCACAGCCACCATAGTTCTTCATAAATAAAGTGACAGAATCTCAATAAAGAAGGGTGTAATGCTGGGAACACAATCTCTCCAATACTGTTCACTGCGTGTTTACAGGAGGTTTTCAGTATCCTAGATTGGGAAGAGCTAGGGTAACAGTTAATGGAGAGTAACTCTGTAATTTGCACTCCGCTGATGACATTGCTTTAATGAGTAACTTAGGGAACGAGTTACAGCTCATGATTCTCAAACATGGAAAGCAGAAGAGTTGGTCTGAAAATTGATATATATAAAACTAAAGTAATGTGCTACATTCTTGGCAGGAAAGAGCACTTTGCGATAGGTAGAGAGACACTGAAAGTTGTAAAGGAATATGTCTACTTTGAACAGGTAGTAACTGCAGAGCGAAACCATGAGAGTGAAATAACTAAAATAAGGATGAAGTGGATCACATTCGGCTAGCATTCTCGAATCATGAATCATGGTAATAAACATCAAGAGGAACGTATATAACAGCTGCATCTTGCTGGTACTTACCTACGGAGCAGAAACCTAAAGGCTTACAAAGAGGATTCAGTTTGAATTGAGGACGATGCAGCAAGCGACGGAAAGGAAAATTATAGGTGTTACCTTAAGAGACAACAAGAGAACAGAGTGGGTGAGGGAACCAACCAGGGTTAAGGATATCATAGTTGAAATCAAGGAAAAGAAATGGACATGGGCCGAGCATGTAGGCAGGATGACTGCTGGTCATTAAGGGTAACTAACTGGATGCCCAGAGAAAGCAAACACACGAAGGGGAGACAGAAAGTTAGCTGGTTCGATGAGAATAAAAAGTTCACCAATATAACGTGGCAGCAGAAAACACAAGACCAGGTTGATTGGCAAATCATGGCAGATGCTTTTGCCCTGCAATGAGCGTAGTCAGGCTGATGAGTGACAGCAGTGCTGGCCATGGTGTTGACAGATGCCTGTGTATCTGCAGTGATGGCACCAGCCCCATGAGTGCACTAGACCCAGGCAGAGACGTTTGCTGTCGTAAGGCTAAGGGAAGACGCTTCGCACTTTTGTTTCAAGTTGTTTTCATGCATGGGTGCAAGTGGGACCATGTTTTTAAAATGAATAAACGTGGAAGCTCTGGGTTCTTGTGTGTGCACTTGCACAACAAACTGCGACGATTGCAGAGTGTTGGGCAAGTTGGTACACACTTTAACATGAAAGCGGCTTTAAACTAGTCTTGGTTTGGTATGAAGATTTTTTTTTTTTTGCATGTGCGGTTCTATCACGTATCAGTGTATTTTACAATTGTATGTAAATTAATGGGCGATGTGTAACTTTTTGGTATCGCAGGAGTCTGCCGATAGACATTGACATCAATTGAGAATGTTATTTCCTGTATCTGTGTACACCCAGAATTCTAGATCACCATGACATTTGTTTTGAATGTCATTCGCTGTGACACATGCTGTGTGACAGGAGTTCGAATGAAGCTCCGCCGCAGTGGTCTAGTGGCTAAGGTACTCGGCTGCTAATCCGCAGGTCGCAGGATCGAATCCCGGCTGCGGCGGCTGCATTTCCGATGGAGGCTAAAGTGTTGTAGGCCTATGTGCTCAGATTTGGGTGCATGTTAAACAACCCCAGGTGGTCGAAATTTCTGGAGCCCTCCACTACGGCGTCTCTCATAATCATAGCGTGGTTTTGGGACGTTAAACCCCGCAAACCAATCAATTAACATCAGACATGACCACGGCCACAACTTAGCTCGCCTTTCGTCGTTTCGTCGCACGCCGCGGTGTACCCTCAATTGTGTACTCTGACAACGCCCAGACGTTTCGGAGTTGTGCTAGATGGTTTGAATCTGCTCTAACTGCTCTTCGCGAATACGCCGCGGAGAAAGTGGGATCACTGTAGCAGGCTTGCACTGATAGCGGTGAACGGAGTTTAAGGGCATCACCTTAAACTCGAAGAGGCCGGCCGGTGTTAAATACGCCGTCTTCTCTCGATCTCTTTTGTCGATTTCGATTTGCCAATAGCCAGTCTTGAGGTTCATTGACGAAAAGTACTTGGCGTTATGGAGCCGATCTAGTGCGTCGTCTATTCGTGGGAGAGGATACACGCCCTTTTTTGTTATTTTGTTCGGGCGGCGATAATCGATGCAGAAACGTAGGGTTCCATCCTTTTTCTTCACTAACATCACGGAGGACGCCCATGGACTTTTGGACGGCTGGATGATGTCATCCCGTAGCATTTCATCAACTTGTGTTTTTATGGCCTCGCGTTCTCGCGTCGGAACCCTGTACAGACCCTGACGGAGTGGTCTGGCATTTTCCTCGGTTATGATGCGATGTTTCGTGATTGGCGTTTGCCGAATTTTCGACGATGATGAAAAGCAATCTTCGTATTGCAGGAGCTGGGTCTTGTTCTTTGCTTATGGTTCGGAAGGCTGGGATTGACGTCCAAAGCTGAGGGAGGGGCTTGGTTTCTCTTAGCAGGTTCTGTAGAATTGGCGAGGGCGAAAGCACTGGTGGCTTCCACGATTTCTTCTATTTATGCGACCGTCGTTCCTTTGTTCACGTGTTTGTATTCATTGCTGAAATTCGTGAGCATAACCGTTGCTTTGCCTCCCCGCAGCTCTGCAATGCCCCTTGCGACGCAAATATTACGGGTGACCAACTGATGCTGACTGCCTTCAACGATGCCTTCCAAGTCGGGTGATTTAGGAGCGCCGACTGAAATACTGACGCTGGAGCGAGGCGGAATGGTGACTTGTTCTATCAGCACATTCAAGGCATGGTTTCCTGACCGTGTGCGCGGCGTTAGTGCTTCTTCTGTGGATAACGTTATCGACTTTGTTCTTAAGTTGATGACAGCACCATGAAGGCATAAGAAGTCCATGCCAAGGATGACATCTCTCGAGCAACGCTGTAGGACTACGAAGTCTGCAGGATAAATACGGCCGTTAATGGTGACTCTCGCTGTGCAGATTCCTGCAGGCATTATGAGATGACCTCCGGCTGTGGGGATTTCGGGGCCTTCCCAAGCTGTCCTAACTTTCTTCAATTTCGTGGCGAACGGCCCACTAATGACGGAATAGTCTGCTCCAGTTTTGACGAGAACGGTCACACTGTGGTCGTCGATAAGAACGTTGAGGTCACTAGTTCGCCGTCTCGCGTTACAGTTAGGGCGTGGCGTCAGATCACGGCTGCGTCGGCTTGTTCCGCTGCTTCCATGTTGCGTTGTCAGGTCACCTTCGGTAAATGAGGTTTCGCCGTCAGGACTTTGTCTGGTTGGCTTCGTGTTCGGAAAGCTTTGTCGCGTTGGAGGAGGAGGATCTTCGGTAGTTCGTCGCACAGCAACCGCACCTTCATCGGTTGCTGCCCTTAGTTTCCCGAATACAGGCTAGGAGACCGACCCCACGTTGGGCCAGAGTACTACCGGTTGTGCGGTGACATGCGGCGGCTGGGCGACGGCGAACGGGAAGGACTTCAAAGTGTCTACCGAGTTCCTGTCAGGTAGTTGGCGATGTC